AATAATATATTTTTTTAAAAATGCATGCACGCCTATGCTCACAGCAGCGCCATTTACAATCGCTAAGATCCGGAAACAGCCCACGTGCCCATCAGGAGAGGAGTGGGCAGAAAGCGGTGGTACGTGTACACCGTGGAATACGATGCAGCTGTAAAAAATAAGGATCTCTGACCCTCTGAGACGGCAGGGAGGGACCTGGAGAGCATCGAGCGAAGTGAGGTAAGCCAGTCAGAGAGAGAAAGACAAGTACCACATGATCTCACCTCTATGTGGAATCTAATGAACAAAATAAACTGATGAGCCCTGACCGGTTTGGCTCAGTGGATAGAGAGTCAGCCTGCGGACTGAAAGGTCCCAGGTTCGATTCCGGTCAAGGGCACGTACCTTGGTTTGGGCACATCCCCAGTGGGGGGTGTGCAAGAGGCAGCTGCTCAATGTTCCTCTCTCATCGATGTTTCTAACTCTCTATCTCTCTCCCTTCCTCTCTGTACAAAAAGAAATGAAATATATTTTTAAAAATAAAACTAAATAGCCGAAACCTGTTTGGCTCAGTGGATAGAGCGTTGGCCTGTGGACTGAAAGGTCCCGGGTTCGATTCCGTTCAAGGGCATGTACATTGGTGGAGGGCGCATCCCAGAAGGGGGTGTGCAAGAGGCAGCTGGCCGATGTTTCTCTCTCATTGACGTTTCTAACTCTCTATCCCTCTGAATTCCTCTCTATGTAAAATCAATAAAATATATTTGAAATAAATAAATAAATAAATAAAACTAAATAAACCGATGAACAAAACAGATCCAGAGGCATAGAAGCACAGAACAGACTGCGGAATCTCAGAGGGAAGGGAGAGGGAGGATGGGTGGGTGGAAGTGACCAACCAAAGAACTTGTAAGCATATATGCACAACCCATGGACACAGTCAATGGGGTCGTGCAGGCCTGCAGCAGGGTGGGGTGAGAGGGCTGGGGGAGTCTAGAAGGGATTAATGGAGCATAAAAGGGGACATGTAATACTTTAAACAATAAAGACTTCATTAAGATTTATAAAATAACGATAACAAGCTCATTGCAGTTCACCTTGAAAACAACCTTAATAAAAAATAATCTTTCCAGCCGAGACCGGTTTGGCTCAGCGGATAGAGCGTCGGCCTGCGGACTCAAGGGTCCCAGGTTCGATTCCGGTCAAGGGCATGTACCTTGGTTGTGGGCACATCCCCGGTGGGGGGTGTGCAAGAGGCAGCTGATGGATGTTTCTCATTGATGTTTCTGACTCTCTATCCCTCTCTCTTCCTCTGTAAAAAAATCAATAAAACATATTTTTTAAAATAACAATAATTTTTTTTAAAAAATAATCTTTCCAGACCAAAAATGTAGTGAGCAGAGTGGCATTTTTAAAAACCATTTCGCAAATCTCTTTTCTTGTCTGGCTCAGTAGAAGACAGCTGGATCCCTCGTAGCCGCTTCTGTGTTAGTCAGCACGTTGCTCGCTGTGTAGCTTCTGGAAAATTCCGGGGCGCACTCATGACAGAATGAGGAGGAAAAAGACAGGTCACGTCTCGCGTTAGCATGGAAACAATCCTGCCCGGCCGGTGCGGCTCAGTGGTGGAACGCCGACCTGTGAACCAGGAGGTCACAGTTCGAATCCCAGTCAGGGCACATGCCCAGGGTGCAGGCTCGATCCTCAATGTGAATTTGCTTAGTTTGTTCTAGCTTATTATTCCAAAAATATGGCCGAAATCCACGAGAAGTCACACCTCAGCCATGCTCACTGCTCACCGTTTGGAAAACTCTAGCGGACCTTCGGGAGCCCCTGTGACACCCACCTCTGGTTTGACTGTTCCCTGCTGCACCCCAGCTTCTGGCACAGGGCCTGGCTACACACACAGTAGGCGTTTAATGAGTGTTTGTGGAGTGAATAACGAACGCACAGGGAGCCGGGGGCAGAGTCAGGACTGTAACCCCGCCTGGCCCCTCCCTGGGACTCAGGAATCCCGGCCCTGGCGTTGGCTCCGGCTCCTCTTACCCTCACACAGCCGCTCTGCCTCCTGGGGAAATGCTTAACCCGAGTCTCCCTTTTGGAAGAACCAAAACTACTTCTCCCTACCCCGTTTGGCTCAGTGGATAGAGCGCGGACCTGAGGACTAAAGGGTCTCGGGTTCAATTCCGGTCAAGGGCACAGGCCCAGGTTGTAGGCTCCATCCCCAATGTGGGGCTTGAAGGAGGCAGCCAGCCAATGATTCTCTCGCATCATTGATGTTTCTATCTCTCTCTCCCTCTCTTCCTTCCTCTCTGAAATTTATATATATGTGTGTGTGTGTGTGTGTGTGTGTGTGTGTTTTAAATTGGGCAGAAGTCTATCATTTCACTTATCTTTTAAAAATATATTTTATTGACTTTTTACAGCGAGGAAGGGAGAGGGATAGAGAGTTAGAAACATCGATCTGCTGCCTCCTGCACCACCACCCCCTCCCACTGGGAATGTGCTCGCAACCAAGGTACATGCCCTTGACCGGAATCGAACCTGGGACCCTCCAGTTCGCAGGCTGAGGCTCTATCCACTGAGCCAAACCAGCTAGGGCAATATATATATATATATATATATATATATATATATATATATATATATATATATATATATATATATATATATATATATATATATATATATATATATATATATATATATATATATATATATATATATATATATATTTAAACTACATTTCCCACAAGAGCCAGGGCTGGGACTACACTTCCCATAAGCCCCTGCTCCCGCCAGGTTCTTTGCCCTTCAGCCAAGGGTCAGATCACATTGCACATTTTGCTACCCCCACCCCCCTAATCCCGTCCTCTCTGCGTGCGTCACGGTCCATCCCCCCTTTCCCCCCGCCCCGCTTCCCGAGCACCGAACCTGCCTCAGTTTCTCTAATGAGACCCCCGCGCCCCCGCCCCGCCCCGCCCCGCCCCCGGGGTCCCGATGCGGAGGGCTGCGCACTGCACTGCGGGTGTGAGAGCCGCCGGCGCCGAGCGCGTGGCGCGGCCCGGGCTGCGCGCCCCGGACCCGCCGGGGAGGGAGGCTGCGGGCCGCCGGGGGCCGGGGTCTGCCCGCCGCCTCCGCGGGGCGTCGTGCGGCCGCACCGGGAAGGTGCGCGCGGCGGGGGAGCCCGTGCTCGCGGGGTGTCTGCGGCGCGGGGCGCGCGGTGGCCCCCCGTGGCGGCGGCGGCCGGGCACGTTACGTGTGCGTTCTTGTCTGTGCCGTGTGTGTCCCCCACGGGCCGGGTTCCAGCCCCCATCCTGCCCGCCCTTTCCTGCCTGCCTCAGTTTCCCCATCCGTGCGATGGGGGCGATAACGGTACCCGAGGATAATGCCCGGCGCAGAGGACACGCTCCAAAGAATAAATATGTGAAATAAACCGTGATCATGTATCTTTTGTGTGAGGGGAGCAGTGTCTGTGACGGTGTTGGCTGTGTGATCTCATCTGTGTGCGTCTCTGTGTGTGTGTGTTTGCACCGTGGTATGTGTTATACGTGCCCATGTGTTATGTGTGGCGGGGTAACGTGGTTTTTGTAACCTCGTGTGAAATGTGTGTGTATTTGTGAAGTGTCTATCTACGTGCATCTATGTATTCGATGTTTGTGCCTGTGCTGTGTTTCTGTATGTATCTGTGTATGTCATATGTGGTGACAGCAGTGTGTGATATGTTTGTGTGGTTTTTTTTGGTACGTGATTGGTATAGCTTTGTGTGTCTGTGATTCTTTGAATGTGTGTATGTGTGTGTGTGTGTGTGTTTTGAACCATGTGTGGGTTGTGCCTGTCTTTGTGTGTGTGTGTCTGTGATGTTTGTGTGTGTGTGTGTGTGTGTGTGTGTGTGTATTTGGGTGAGTGAAATGTAGGTCTATGTGAGAGATGTGTAACTTTTATGTACTTGTGTCTATGTGTCTATGTGTTGTGTGTGTACTCGTGAGTGTGATTTGCTTATCTCTCCATGTATCTGCTGTGTATCGTGTATATTTGGGCATGTGGTGTGTCTGTTGTTTGTCTGTGTGTATTCGGGTGAGTGAAATGTAGGTCTATGTGAGAGATGTGTATCTTTTATGTACTTGTGTCTATGTGTTGTGTGTGTATTTGTGAGTGTGATTTGCTTATCTCTCCATGTATCTGCTGTGTATCCGTGTATATGTGGGCATGGGATGCTTGTCTGTGTTGGTGCATGTCATGTGTTGACGTGTCTCTGAGAGTGGTGCTTGTGTGTGTCTGTGTGTGTGATGCTGTGCCTGTGGGTGTTCTTTGTTGCCTGTTTGTCTGTGGGATGTGCGTGTCTGTGAACGTGTGCATGTCACCGTGGTGTCCGCGTGGATCTTTGTCTGTGGCACACGCATCCGTGTGTTCCGAGCGCGGCTGCGTCTGTGGCACGCGTGGCGTGGGTCTTTGTGGTGCGTGGCCGTTCCTGCGTGGCCGGGTGCGTCTGTGCGGAGAGCCAGCCCGCCGTGTCCCCAGCGCAGCCCCTCATCCCTGCGCCTTTGTGTGTGACGTGTCCGTGTCCCCGTCAGTCTGCCGATGGCTGTCCACCTTTGTATGTGATGCGCTTGTCTGTGAGGGTCTCTGCAACGTGTGTCAGCCATGTGTGGGCTGCGTATGCCTGCCTGACATCTGCGTCTCGGCGTGGAGCACACGTGTTCGTGCTGGTGACATGCCACGGAGCTGTCCCCGGACGGGCACAGCGGGCCCCGCGCCCCCCACCCCAAGGGTCTGCTGGTCCCTGTCCGTCCCTCTCCCTCTCCTCCCTCCCCGCAGCCAATGCTACTGGGGAGCCAGTTGCCATGACGACGCTCCATCCTCCCTCCATCCTCCCTCCTCCCACCCTTCCTCTGACAGGCTCTCCGCTCCCCCAATCCTGGCCGGCCTTGGGGGCGGGGCCCTCGTGCTCCCCCCTCCCATCCTACCCTCTCCCCCCCACCCCAGCAACCCCGGCTCCCCAGCTCCTCTCCTCTGTCCTCCTCTCCATCCCTTCATCTGTCTGTCCCTTCAGAGAGGGGGAGGGGGGTACCCGAGCCAGACAGCAGCCCCTCCCTCCCCCTGTCCTGCGTCTCTCGCCCCTCTCCTGGGCGGGGGGAGGCCAGGGTCGCGCGGGTCCCCATGGCTGGGGGCTGAGGGCCCGCCCCCCCTCCTCCCCAGCCGCCGCCGCCACCTCCACCTCCACTTCCCTCCCATCACCACCGACAAGATGCCTGCCCCTGGAGCCTTCCTCTTCCTCGCGGCCGTCTCCGCCTCCGGCTGCCTGGCGTCCCCGGCCCACCCCGGTGAGTCTGTCTGTCGGGCCATCCATCCGGCGGCCCATCCGGCGGCCCCCGCCCCCACCCCGGCCGCCCACGGGGGTCTGTGCGGGGCTCCGGCCCCGTCACCCCATCACCTGTGTGCATGTCTGCCGGCCGCCGCGCCGGGCCCGGGGGCAGCGCAGACGGAGCCTGTCCGCGGGGCCTGTGGGAGGAAGGCCGGGGCTGGGTGGGGAGGGGGTCCGCTTGGGCAACATGTGTTTGCACACGCATGTGTGCGTGCAGGTGTGTGCGGGGAGCCCACGGAGCCAGGGCCTCCGGGAGAGCCGGGGCCGCGGGGAGGAAGGCTGTGTCTAAGGCAGAGCCAGCACGGGAGGCTGTCTCCAGCCTTGGGGAGACCCAGGGCTGGCCGGGGCTGGGGACAGAGGACATGGGTGCGCTCCAGGTGCCCCTAAAGGAGACATGCCTCACCCCTGCTAACTAGGGGGACCAGCATGGGGCAAGCATCTTCTCCCAGGCTGCAGCTGGGGGCTCATCCCACCCCCAAACAGGGGCTCCTGAGCAGATTGTAAATTCTGGGAGCTCCAGGCTCCAAAATTCCTTCTCCTTGCCTCAGTCCTCACTGGAATTCTTCCAAGTCTGGGGTGATGTGATGGGGGGTGGTGGGGGTGGTGGTGGTGTCCCAGCTTGGAGAGAGAGGGGGGGACCCCACCCCCAATCACCTGAGAAGGGCTCCAAACTACCATTCCCACAATGCTCTGCACCATCCGGCTCCTTTGCCAAGAGGCCGCTGGTTGCAGTGCGTCATGGGAGTTGTAGTCAAGCCGGCCCGGATGGGAGGGGCACGGAGTCGGGGGGAACCAGAGGCTTGAAGTGGGGACGCCAGCCCAGCAGCCCATCCCTTGTGCCCACAGATGGATTCGCCCTGGGCCGGGCCCCTCTGGCTCCTCCCTACGCCGTGGTCCTCATTTCCTGCTCCGGTCTGCTGGCCTTCATCTTCCTCCTCCTCACCTGTCTGTGCTGCAAACGGGGCGATGTGGGCTTTAAGGTGAGGTGCACGAGAGGGTTCCAGGCGGGGAGGGAGACGCCAGCAGGGCCTTTCCCCCGAACCCAGGGGGTGGGTGCGGGAGAGTAGCAGTTGGCCCGGCAGCACCTTTGGCCCTGACGTTATGGCCAGATCCTGAGGCTTGGGATGGAAATTGGACTGGGACTGGGGACAGTGATGAGAAAGATGGGGAGACAGGCCTCTCTCAGCGCTGTATCCTCCCCTCCTCGCCCCTCCCGGCTCCAGGAGTTTGAGAACCCCGAAGGGGAGGATTGCTCCGGGGAGTACACTCCCCCAGCAGAGGAGACCTCCTCCTCCCAGTCGCTGCCTGATGTCTACATTCTCCCGCTGGCCGAGGTCTCCCTGCCCATGCCTGCGCCGCAGCCTTCACATTCAGGTACTGCCCCTGCCCCGTCAGGATCCCATGGTCCTGAGAATCTGCCAGGCGGCCTAGGGGGAAAGGTGTTGGGGGTTGGGGGGGTGCGGGATCCTGACCCTGGATGCGGTCAGAGATCATCCGGGTGCAAGCAATTGCTTAATCCAAAACCAGACTTGGCAAAACCAGATTTGGGTTTTGGATTAAGCAACCGATGGTGGGGCAATCCACGGCGAGGGCGGCCCAGATCCCAATCTCGGAGGCCGCCAATGGCAGGCCGAAGGCACGGCAGGGGCTCCTGGGATGCCAGAGGGATGGACGGGTTGGATGCTGGAACCTGTGGGCAGCCAGTGACGAGGCTGAGGTCCCATCTTTGTTTGTTTAAAAATATATATCTATTTTTATTGATTTCAGAGAGGGAGGGAGAGGGAGAGAGAGAGAGAAACATCAACGATGAGAGAGAATCATGGATCGGCTGCTTCCTGCACGCCCCCTACTGGGGATCGGGCCTGCAGCCCAGGCCTGTGCCCTTGGCCAGAACCGACCTCCGGACCCTTCAGTCTGCAGGCGGATGCTCTATCCACTGAGCCACACAGCCAGGGCTGAGGTCCCCTCATTGGAATGTTGGGGGCAGCCAATGAGGAGAGGGATTGGTGCCTGCTCTGACCCCCAGCCTCCAGGGAGTTGGGAGGTGTCATGGGCACTTGGGAGGGGGGAGAGTCTCAGGGGCCTCCCTCCCTTCTGCCCCCCTAGACATGACCACCCCCATAGGCCTTAGCCGCCAGCACCTCAGCTACCTGCAAGAGATTGGGAGCGGCTGGTTCGGGAAGGTGAGTGGGCTGGAGGTGGGAGGCAGGCGGTCCACACCGTCCAGGGTCGCACTCCTGTGTTGTGTCCATCCCCCCTGCTCCTACCACGTCTCATCTGCTCCCCGCCTCCTCCCCCTGCCCCCTCCATCGCCCACCCATCCCCCTCACCTCTGTCCACCTCTCACCCGCTCCCACCCCACCCCCACCCCCTCACATCTGTCCGTCAGCGCCTCCCTCCTCACTCCATTGATCACTCCGCCTCGCCACCTGGCTGTCCACGCGTCCGTCTGTCCATCCTCCCATCCGTCCGTCCCTGCACCCATCGGACTCGGGGCCTGTGAGTCTCTCACCCTGGTGGGGGACATGGGGGGGGGGGACGGTATAGGAGGGGAGGGCCTGGGAAGAGGGGGCGTTGGGAGCCTGTGGTGGGTGCAGGGGACTCCAGGGGAGGGGGTGGCGGGGGAAACCACACACTCTGACCCCCTCCCCCGGACCCCACGGACCAGGTGATCCTGGGGGAGATTTTCTCAGACTACACCCCAGCCCAGGTGGTGGTGAAGGAGCTGCGGGCCAGCGCGGGGCCGCTGGAGCAGCGCAAGTTCATCTCGGAGGCTCAGCCCTACAGGTACGCCAGCGCGGGCGCCTCCTGGAGGCAACCTTTGGAAGTGGGAGGGGTAGAGTGTGGGGTCCAACCGGGGTTCGAGTCCTGGATCTGTGTGCTAAGCAATTAAGAGAGAGTTCCCCCCTCTGAGCCGAGGGTTCTTTTTTTTTTCTTTAAATATATTTTATTGATTCATTACAGAGAGGAAGAGAGAGGGATAGAGAGTTAGAAACATCGATGAGAGAGAAGCATCGATTAGCTGCCTCTTGCACGCCCCCTACTGAGGATGTGCCCGCAACCAAGGTACATGCCCTTGACCGGAATCGAACCTGGGACCTTTCAGTCCGCAGACCAGCGCTCTCTCCGCTGAGCCACACCGGTTTCGGCAGAGCCGAGGGTTCTCTCCCGGGACAGAGCCAGGGGTGAGAGAGGCAGAGTGCAGGGGGCAAAGGGAGGGCCCAGAAGCAGAGCTGGAGGCTGCTCTCTCCACTCTGAACCTCAGTATCTTCATCTGCGAAGTGAGTCCAGGAAGCCTGAGGGTCCTCATGTAGAGGGCAGGGCAGGGGCAGGGGGGTGAGGTTACCCCGGAGGGAGCACTGGGCACACCTCAGGCCCCCACTTGTGGGGGAGGAAGCGTTGAATCAGGGTCACAGCCCAGCGCCCGGAGCAGCATCCGAAGTGGCCTCTGAGCGGCTCCGTCCCCTACCCCCGCCCCCACGGACGAGGAGGCCCGAGAAGGCAGGACCGCGTCCCCTCCCTGCTGGTCTCCCCGCCACGCTGAGGGCTTCTGGATAAACGCTCGCCGGGAAGTGCCTTGTGCCGTAAGGCGTTCCGTGTTGTGGAAGGGCCATGTATAGAGACAGTTCAAACGTGGGGTGTACCTCAAAAGACCCGGACGTTGGATGAGTCGCTCCCTTGCTCTAAAACCCTCGTGGCTCCCTATTGCCCACAGGACCCAGTCCCACTCCTCTGCACAGCCACGGGCCCCCTAGCCCCAGCCACCCTCCTCCCCGACCCTCCCACCTGCCGCCTGTTCCTGCCTCGGACCCTGGCTCGCCTTCGCTGTTCCCGCTGGGATATCACTCCTGACACCCCCAGCTCGGACTCCGCCCTCCTGGGTTCCAGCTCAGAGAGGCCTGTGTGCACACGTGTACACACACACACACACACACACACACACACACACACGAGGCAAGCCCTGGGACCCCCCACACATCAGCTCACATGTTTTCTTCATAACATATATCCAGTTTGTCAATTTTCTTTTTTTTTTTTTTTTAATATATTTTATTGATTTTTTTACAGAGAGGAAGGGAGAGGGACAGAGAGTCAGAAACATCGATGAGAGAGAAATATCGATGAGCTGCCTCCTGCACGCCTCCCACTGGGGATGTGCCCGCAACCAAGGTACATGCCCTTGACCGGAATCGAACCCGGGACCTTTCAGTCTGCAGGCTGATTCTCTATTCACTGAGCCAAACCGGTTTCGGCCAGTTTGTCAGTTTTCACCGGTTTATTTGCCGGTGTCTGCTGGCCACCGCTGGCCACACAGGGCGATTCTCATTTACGTCCAACCAGATCAAGTTAAACCTTCTCATGCCCAGCGGCCACAAAAGGCCATGGCTGCCCTGGAGACAGCCTGGATCCTGGGTGTTTTCACTCTCACAGAACGATCTGCTGGAACCGGCGGCTGGGGGTCCTATTGTCCCCCGAGCACAAGTGCCTGGGCCCTCGGGAGACCGAGCGAGCCAGACCTGAGGTCCAATCCCAGCGGCCACCGCTCCCCGCTGTGTGGCCCTGGGCCAGTCGCTTTGCCTCTCTGAGCCTCCATTTCCTCTGCGCCACATGGGGAACAGCGTCCTGCCCCATAGGGGTGTCAGGAGGATCTGCTAGCGGGAGCAGCCGGCCTGGGCTCCGATCAGTCAGTGTGCCGTGAGCCCAGCTTCCTTCCACATCTGCCAGCCCATCGCCAGCACGGGTGCTCGGCCGCTTTTTTAAAAATATTTTTTATTGATTTTTTTTTACAGGGAGGAAGAGAGAGGGATAGAGAGTTAGAAACATTGATCAGCTGCCTCCCACCAGGGATGTGCCCACACCCAAGTACATGCCCTGGCTGGAATCAAACCCGGGACCCCTCAGTCCGAAGGCCGATGCTCTATCCACTGAGCCAAACCAGTTAGGGCTCCATCAAGCCCAGCACGTACTGGGCCGCGGTGGAAGCAGGAACGGGAGGGCTATTGTCCCGAGCAGAGCAGGCTGGAACACCGGCCGTGGCTGGCCGGGCGCTGGGCCCTGGGTCCCTGCCTCCCACCGGGCACCAGAGGGAAAACAGCTCATCGAGCACCCCCCTGGCACCAGCTCTGGGCTCCGGGGTAAACCCCTCACCCACACATTCTTACGGAACACTGACCTTCTGTTCTGGACAAATACCCCAAACCCTCTGTCTCCGTGGGACTGGCTGCCGAGAGAAAAGAGGGGCACCCCCAGTGTTGGGGGTCAGGGCCGTGTCGTGGGCAAATGGGGCTGCAGCCGAGGCCTGCGGGCGGGAGGAGGAGGACTCCGAGAGGGAGGGCGTGGGGCCGTCCGTACAAAGGCCGGAGCCTGAGCAGGCCCCTGTGTGTGTGAACAGGAGCCCGGGCGAGGGGGGCGCTGGGGAAGGCGGGACGGAGGGCCTTCAGGTGGGGTGCTGAGCACGGAGTGAGGAGAGGCCTCGTGTGAGGAGGAGGCTGGAGCCGGGGATGGAGACGCATCGGGGGCAGGAGGCCGGGGTGAGGAGGAAGGTGGGAGCAGGAGACATTGGGGGTCTGGCCCAGGAACCGGGGGACAGTGGGTGGTCCTGACAGGGAATGGGGAGGGTGTCTGTGTTGGGGGGGGGCCAGGGGGGACGGGGAGACCTGAGGTGAGGAAACTGAGCTGGAAAAGGCTGAAGCAACAGTTTGGTTCTGCTGGGGGGGCTGGGCTGGGCTGGACTGGGCTGGGGCTGGGGCTGGGCCCAAGGGAAGGGCTGCTTCCTGACCCAGCCCCCCCCCCCCTATCCCCCCAGAAGCCTGCAGCACCCCAACGTCCTGCAGTGCCTGGGCGTCTGCGTGGAGACCCTGCCTTTCCTGCTGATCATGGAGTTCTGTCAGCTGGTGAGGCTCTGCAGGGGGGCGGGGGAGCTGGAGGGGAGGCGGAGGGGGCTGGGGGCGCCTAGGGTCCCAGGACTGGGCTTTAACATCGTCACCATCACCGCGACACTGTGTGACCAGCCCTATCAGGAGGGCCCCCGCCCGCAGGCGGTGCCCAGCCCGCAATGAGGCGTTCAGTTTGTTATCTCCCCCCACCCCCCGCCGCTGGGGGGCTGCCCACTGATTGCGGGCGTCCCGCCGCCGCCGGGATCAGCTGGATGTGTGGCTGCTGGTGCTGGTGCTGGTGGTGGTGGTGGTGGTGGTGGGGGGTGCTGAGCCTCCCCGCCCTTCCTCCCAGGGGGACCTGAAGCGCTACCTCCGCGCCCAGCGGCCCCCCGAGGGCGTGTCCCCGGAGCTGCCCCCGCGCGACCTGCGGACGCTGCAGCGGATGGGCCTGGAGATCGCGCGGGGGCTGGCGCACCTGCACTCCCACAACTACGTGCACAGGTGCCCCGGGGCCCAGGGAGCAAGGGGGTCTCCTTAGGGGACGGGGGAGGCCACGGGAGGGGAGGGGACGGGAGAGGAGAGGGAGGAGTTAAGAGGGGAGCTGGGTCACAGGAGGGGCGGGGCCTGGGATTGGGCGGGGCCAGGAGTGGGCGGAGTCCAGAGGAGATGGAGGGGCGGGGCCAGGATAGGGGAGGGGTCATAGGAGGGGCGGGGCCTGGAGAGGGGAGGGGTCCAGAGGAGATGGAGGGGCGGGGCCAGGAGAGGGGAGGGGTCCAGAGGAGATGGAGGGGCGGGGCCAGGAGTGGGCGGAGTCCAGAGGAGATGGAGGGGCGGGGCCAGGATAGGGGAGGGGTCATAGGAGGGGCGGGGCCTGGAGAGGGGAGGGGTCCAGAGGAGATGGAGGGGCGGGGCCAGGAGAGGGCGGAGTCCAGAGGAGATGGAGGGGCTTGGGGCCCAGGAGGAATCAGGGCTGGAGGCGGGGTGGGGTGTTTGGGGGGAGAGGGAGGGGCGGAGTCCGGGGGGATCTGGGCTGGGGGTAAGCTGCCCAGCTGCCCCTTCCTCACCCGCCTCCTCCCCTCCCTCGGGCCCCCAGCGACCTGGCCCTGCGCAACTGCCTGCTGACCTCTGACCTCACCGTGCGCATCGGCGACTACGGGCTGGCCCACAGCAACTACAAGGTGGGCTGCCTGTCTCCGTGGGGGGCCGAGGGCCAGGGGGCGGGGGGGCCCGGCCCGCCTGACCTGCCCCTGCCCCGCCGGCCCCAGGAGGACTACTACCTGACCCCCGAGCGCCTGTGGATCCCGCTGCGCTGGGCGGCGCCCGAGCTGCTGGGCGAGCTGCACGGCTCCTTCATGGTGGTGGACCAGAGCCGCGAGAGCAACATCTGGTGGGTCTGCCGGCCCCGGCGCCCGGGGGGAAACCGAGGCCCGGGGCAGGCCCCGGCCGGCCAGGGCGCGGCTCTGACTCCGCTGCCCTCCACCCGCAGGTCCCTGGGGGTGACGCTGTGGGAGCTGTTTGAGTTTGGGGCGCAGCCCTACCGCCACCTGTCCGACGAGGAGGTCCTGGCCTTCGTGGTCCGCCAGCAGCACGTCAAGCTGGCCCGGCCCCGGCTCAAGCTGCCCTACGGGGACTACTGGTGAGGCCCGCCCCCTGGCCCCGGCCCCCCACACACACCACCCACAGCCTCACCCCTGCAGCACCCGCTCCGGAGCGGGAGCCCGCGCTGGGGTCTGAGCCCCGGCTCCCCGCCCCTCAGAGGCCCGGCTGCTGGCTCTCTGAGCACCGAGCCCACAGCCAGACACCCTGGTGTCCTCACAGGGCCTCCCTGTCCCCTTCCTCTGGGCCCTGTCCTCTCCGCTCTGGTGTCTGTCTCTCCCCCCTGGGTGTCTGTCTGTCTCTGTCCCCCTGGGTGTCTGTCTGTCTCTCCCCCCGGGTATCTGTCTGTCACTCCCCCTGGGTGTCTGTCTGTCTCCCCATGGGTGTCTGTCTCCCCTGGGTGTCTGTCTGTCTCTGTCCTCCTGGGTGTCTGTCTGTCTCCCCCTGGGTGTCTGTCTCTGTCCTCCTGGGTGTCTGTCTGTCTCCCCTCTGGTGTCTGAATGTCTCTCCCCCTGGGTGGCTGTCTGTCTCTCCCCCCCCGGGTGTCTGTCTCTCCCTCCCCCCTGGTGTCTGTCTGTCTCCCCCACTGGGTGTCTGTCTGTCTCCCCCTGGGTGTCTGTCTGTCTCTCCCCCCGGGTGTCTGTCTGTCTCTCCCTCTCCCCCTGGTGTCTGTCTGTCTCTCCCCCTGGGTGTCTGTCTGTCTCCCCCTGGGTGTCTGTCTCTGTCCTCCTGGGTGTCTGTCTGTCTCCCCTCTGGTGTCTGAATGTCTCTCCCCCTGGGTGTCTGTCTGTCTCTCCCTCCCCCCCTGGTGTCTGTCTGTCTCCCCCTGGGTGTCTGTCTGTCTCCCCCCCCCCCCCCCCCCCCCCCCGGTGTCTGTCTCTCCCTCCCCCCCTGGTGTCTGTCTGTCTCCCCCACTGGGTGTCTGTCTGTCTCCCCCTGGGTGTCTGTCTGTCTCCTCCTGGGTGTCTGGCCCCCTCCCCTGGGTGTCTGCCCTCGTGGTGCCCCCCCCCCCCGGCTCTGCCCACGCGGCCCCTCTCTCCCGCAGGTACGACATCCTGCAGTCCTGCTGGCGGCCGCCCGCCCAGCGCCCCTCGGCCTCGGACCTGCAGCTGCAGCTCACCTACCTGCTGTCCGAGCGGCCCCCGCGGCCCCCGCCGCCCCCGCCCCCGCCCCGGGACGGCCCGTTCCCCTGGCCCTGGCCCGCCACCCACAGCGCGCCCCGCCCGGGCACCCTGTCCTCGCCGTTCCCGCTGCTGGACGGCTTCCCGGGCGCCGACCCCGACGACGTGCTGACCGTCACGGAGAGCAGCCGCGGCCTCAACCTGGAGTGCCTGTGGGAGAAGGCGCGGCGCGGCGCCGGCCGGGGCGGCGCGGCCTGGCAGCCCGCCTCCGCGCCCCCCGCGCCCCGCGCCGCCCCCGCCAACCCCTTCTACGAGGCGCTGTCCACGCCCAGCGTGCTGCCCGTCATCAGCGCCCGCAGCCCCTCCGTGGGCAGCGAGTACTACATCCGCCTGGAGGAGCACGGCTCCCCGCCCGAGCCCCTCTTCCCCAGCGACTGGGACCCCCTGGACGCGGGCGCGCCGGCCGCCCCGGCCCCCCAGCCGCCCTCCGAGGTGCCCCAGCTGGTGTCCGAGACCTGGGCCTCCCCCCTCTTCCCGGCGCCCCGGCCCTTCCCGGCCCAGGCCGCGGCCGGGGGCTTCCTCCTGAGCGGCTGGGACCCCGAGGGCCGGGGCGCGGGGGAGACCCTGGCGGGGGACCCTGCCGAGGTGCTGGGGGAGCGGGGGGCCGCGTGGGCCGAGGAGGAGGAAGAGGAGGAGGAGGAGGAGGAGGAGGGCAGCTCCCCGGGGGAGGACAGCAGCAGCCTGGGGGGCCCGGGCCGCCGCAGCCAGCTGCCCTGCCCGCTGTGCAGCCGGGAGGGCGCCTGCTCCTGCCTGCCGCTGGAGCGCGGCGAGGCGGTGGCCGGCTGGGGGGGCCACCCCGCGCTGGGCTGTCCCCACCCCCCGGAGGACGACTCGTCCCTGAGGGCCGAGCGGGGCTCCCTGGCCGACCTGCCGCTGGCCCCCCCCTCCTCGGCCCCCCCCGAGTTCCTGGACCCCCTCATGGGGGCCGCGGCGCCCCAGTACCCCGGGCGGGGGCCGCCCCCCGCTCCCCCCCCCCCGCCGCCGCCTCCCCGGGCCCCCGCGGACCCCGCCGCGTCCCCAGACCCCCCTTCGGCCGTGGCCAGCCCCGGCTCAGGCCTGTCGTCCCCGGGCCCCAAGCCGGGCGACAGCGGCTACGAGACCGAGACCCCTTTTTCCCCCGAGGGAGCCTTCCCCGGTGGGGGGGCGGCCGAGGAGGAAGGGGTCCCTCGGCCGCGGGCTCCCCCCGAGCCCCCCGACCCGGGAGCGCCCCGGCCGCCCCCAGACCCGGGTCCCCTCCCGCCGCCGGGGGCCCGGGAGAAGCCGGCCTTCGTAGTCCAAGTGAGCACCGAGCAGCTGCTGATGTCGCTGCGGGAGAACGTGACGCGGAACCTCCTGGGGCCCCGGAGAGCGGGCAGAGGCCCCGGGAGCCCGGAGACAGCCCGGGGCCCCAGCAGCGCGGACCCGAGCCTGCCCGTGAGCGGGGCGACAGTGCTGGAGAACGGGGCGCAGACGCCCCCCGGCACCCGGGAGAAGGTGGCCGAGAACGGGGGCCCGGAGCTCCCGGGGAGCGAGGAGACGGCGCTGGAGAATGGGGAGCTGACGCCCCCAAGGAGGGCGGCGGAGACGGCGCTGGAGAATGGGGAGCCGAGGTCCCCGGAGAGAGGAGAGACAGCGCTGGTGAATGGGGGGCCGACGCCCCCAAAGACGGAGGAGACGGTGTCAGAGAATGGGGGCCCGAGACCCCCCAGGGACCCCGAGAGGCCGCCGGAGACTGGGCCTCGGAGAGCCCCGGGGCCCTGGGAGAAGGAGCCGGAGAGAGCCCCCCCGCCCGGCCCGGCCCCCAGGAGCGCGGCGGCGGAGCCGGGGACCACGAGGAGAGCCCCCGAGACTGGGGGGGCGCCGAGAGCCCCCGGGGCTGGGAGGCCGGACCTCGGGAGTGGGGCCCGAGCCCCAGCGGGCACGGGGACGGGCCCCGGCGGAGGCCTCGGAAGCGGCGCGGACGCAAAGGCAGGGCGGGCCGGCAGCTCGAGGCCGCCGCCGCCCCCGAGGGAGGCCCCGGCGAGGAGGCCGGAGCCCGCGCCCCCGAAGGCCAGGCCGGAGGCGGCCCCCGAGGGCGAGGCCGGGGCGCCCGGCAGCCGGCCCGGAGGAGACCTGGCACCCAGCGCAGACGGGGACCCCCCCAAGCCCGAGAGGAAGGGCCCCGAGATGCCGCGGCTGTTCTTGGACTTGGGACCCCCTCAGGGGAACAGCGAGCAGATCAAAGGTGAGGAGGCTGCTAGGGGCACGGGGGCGGGGTGGGGGCCCGGGGTAGCACAGCCGGGTCAGAGGCTCCGGGTACAGACAGGCCCGGCCGGTGGTGATGAGTGCAGACAGACACGAGCTGGACCACCTGGGCTCAGGGCCCGAGCTCTGTGACCTCGGGCAAGGGACTTTCCCTCTCTGTGCCTCAGTTTCCCCGTCTGCCAAAAAACGGGTGGCAGGACGGCACCTACCTACTAGGGTTGTGGTACGAGTTAAGAATTTCGGTGCCTGACACCCTTAAGCACGTGCTTTTATGACTGCGATTCACAGACTAGTCGTAGGGGTGTCAAACTCAATCAGAGAAGGGGCCAAAATCTAAAATCCAGCCTAAATCGCGGGCCGAATGGTTTACTGAACAGTCATAAACTGTCATTGTGATGGAAACGCAGCGGAGTGCAGTGATGACAGCGCGGTGCGGGCCACATTGCAAGGCCTGGCGGGACGGATTTGGCCCGCGGGCCTTGTGTTTGACACATGTGGTAGTGGGCTCAGATTCAGATGCTGGGGGTGGGGGCGGGCAGCCAGGATTGAGGACTGAATGGGGTCAGAGGGGAGAGGTGGGGGGGGCAGAGAGGGGTTTGAGAGGAAGGACAGACATTTCGCTTCGTTCAGCAATGCCCACCGGGGGGGCTGCCAAATTAGCTGCTTTCCCCTCTTAAACCAGAGCTCTTGGCGTTTCAAAGGTTGAAATCAGTTCAAAGGAAGCTTATCCGAGGGCTGGGCTGCCCGCAGGTGGTCTCTGCTGTCCGCCTGGCAAGGAGCTGAGGCATCTCTCGGGCGGCCAGGCCCTCAGCTGCCCTCCGCCTGGCCGCAGGGGGTCTCAGGCCCGGCCCTGCCTCCAGGGCATCGGTGACCTGGAAGCTGTAGAAATGCCTTTTTTTCTGGAAATGGAGCTTGGAAAGGAGCACAGGGAGTGTTCTGTCACCGAGGGGACGAGTGAGGAGAAGATAAACAAAGAATAGAGATCAATTGAGTTAGAAAAGAAAAAAAAAGGAAGTCCAGGCAGAAGGCACAGCCTGTGCCCAGAGGTGGGAGAAATGGGGAGGTGGCTAGTCTCCAGGAAGTCAGGGAACCACTGTCCTAGAGGCTGCTGTGGGCAAAAGACCCAGGCAGCACGAACATGGCAGGAGATGAGCAGCCAAGATGCCTCTGAGATGGAGGTTGGGGGGGGAGGGGATTGAAGGTTGATGTTTCTGGGTAAGAAAAGGCTAGAAATAGCCTGTTGTCTTTTTAAAAAACAAACAAACAAAAAACCAAAAAACCAGTGAACTCCTACTCATCCGTCAAGGCCCCATTCAAATTTCCCTTGCCCTGGGAAGACTTCCTGGTTTCTGAAGGCTGTTACCCTGTCCTTCCTCTGGGTACCCATAGTTCTCTCTAGACAGCACCCCCCCCCTCCAACCCCCGTCCTATCACACTGAGATGGGTGGTCAGGGAAAGCCTCCATAGGGGGGTGACTTTTGAGCAGACATGAAGAAAACGAGTCAGGGAGGCCTCAGGCGTAGGGCACTGAGATGGGCCCTGAGTTGGCAAGATCAGGGACGAATAGGAAAAGGCCAGAGACGCTGGAGGAGAGCGAATGAGGGAGGAGAGCGACCTGGTCCACAGCCACCTTCTTTCTGCCCCCCTCCCCCAATCTTCCTTGACTCCCCACCATCGCCCCCCACAGGGCCTGACACACTGTTCATGTGTGAACTAACGAATGAGCAGCCCCTGGCATTTCCCAGGCGGGAAACCGCGGCTCAGAGAGGTGGATCTGCCTGCCCGGGGGCACACAGCGAGGGGGCAGGCTGGGATTCGAGAGCAGGTTTCCTTCTCGGCACCTGGAGCCCTTCCCTCCCCCCGCAGGAGGAGATCTGGGCAGGGAAAGGGCCTAGCGAGGGTTCGACACTCCCTCCAGTTTTGCCTGGAGATGGAGGGCGAGAGCAGGACAGTGCCTTGGTCAACCTCACCTCGCGGGGACTCATTTGTCCATCCATCCCTCAAATCCTGGCTGAGCACGTCTGTGTGCTTGGGGCTGGGGGAGGCAGCCAGAACGAGCCGGACTCGGCCTGCTCTGCGGAAAGGCAAACGCTGATCGCATCGCCTGCTTTTGAAGTGTAGTTAGTACAGTGAGGTGATCTTCCCGGAAGGAGGGGTGCTTGGTGCTGTGGGGTGCAGAGCTGGTGGTCTGGCCTGAGGACCGCCTGGAGGGGCTCTGAGGCTCTGGACGCCCCGTACAGCTGGAGGATGACCAGGACTTGAGTTAAAAAAAAAAAAAAAAAAAAAAAAAAAAAAAAAAAAAGGAGCAGCCCATACAAAGGCTCAGAGGCGGGAGGGAGAGGGAGGTGGTCTGGCTGGCTGGCAGTCAAGCCGGAAGGAGGTGGGGACGGGCTTGGGGAGGTGGGCAGGGCCTGGTGGGTGGGGAAAAGCTGGCACTGGGGTCAGGGGTGGAGGGAGACCCCAGTGCAGCCCTTGGGTTCACCAGGAGGGACGCTGAGGCCCAGGCTGAGGTCTGAGAGGGCCTGAGGTCACCCAGCCGGGCGGGAGGCGTGTTCGGGTCCCCAGTCTGAGGGCCTCCCCGTCTCTCCTCTCGCAGCCAAGCTCTCCCGGCTCTCGCTGGCGCTGCCGCCGCTCACGCTTACGCCGTTCCCGGGCCCGGGCCCGCGGCGGGCCCCGTGGGAGGCCGCGGACGGCGGGGCGGCTGGCGGGGAGGCCGGCGGGGCGGGGTCGCCGGGGCCGGCGGAGGAGGACGGGGAGGACGAGGACGAGGAGGAGGAGGAGGAGGAGGACGAGGCGGCGGGCGTGGCGGCGGGGCCGCGGGGCCCCGGGAGGTCCCGGGCAGCCCCGGTGCCGGTCGTGGTGAGCAACTCCGACGGGGACGCGGCCCGCCCGTTGCGGGGGCTGCTCAAGTCGCCGCGCGGGGCCGACGAGTCCGAGGACAGCGAGCTGGAGAGGAAGCGCAAGATGGTCTCCTTCCACGGGGACGTGACGGTCTACCTCTTCGACCAGGTGCGCGGCCGGGGCGGGGCCCCGGGGCGGGGGCGGGGCCTGCGGGCGGGGGAGCCTGTGCACAGATGCCGGGGGCGGGGCCTGCAGGACAGGGGCGGGGCCTGGGGACTGCCTGGCAGGGGATTGGGGCGAGATTGGAGGATGAGATGAAGCGTTGAGAGCGAAGGCGGAGCCTGATCGTGGGGCGGGGCCAGGGGTGGGCGGGGCCCGGGGCGTGGGCGGGTCCTGGAGAGAGGGGGCGTTTCTGGAAAGGACACAGGTTTCCCACTACAAATCCACCCTTTTGCACAATAGCTTTGCTTTGCAAAAGGGTGAATTTGGAGTGGCATGTCTGTATCTGGTAGTCAAGGCGGAGCCTGGAGAGAGACAAGGGAGAAAATGTTGAGAAGGGTGCAGGGGCCTGGGGTGTGGGGGCGGAGCCTAGTGCGTTTGGGGCGGGGTTTACACACCAGCCCAGGCGTAGGGCCTAAGAAGAGGCTGGCTCCGGATGGATCTTACCCGCTAGGGGCGAGTCCTGGGGAGGCTGCGGGTAGGACTTAAGGGATGCGGCTTGTAGGGTTCAGATGGAAAAGAGTGGGTTCAGGGCTGAGCTAATGAGCTGGGCGGAGCCTAGGGAAGTGGGGGAGGGCTGTGTCCCTAGAGGCGGGTAGTGCTGTAGACACAGGGAGGGCGTGGTGGTGCTTGTGGACTGGGCCCTAGGCGCCGGGCTGAGGTCCTGAGCGGAGAGCCCCGGGGCCTGAGCTGTGGCTGGGCCTGAAGGGCTTGGAGGGCTGGGGCGGGCCCCTTCGGGGGGCGGGGCCCAGGGGCCCCTGTGGGTCAGGAGGTGCGCTAGATAGGGTGGGGTTTGGAGGACCATAGCCACAGGCAGTCCTGGGGCCCGAATGTGGACTTCGCGGTCGAGATCTCAGAGGTAGGCAGGTGAACGGAGACGGGGTGTACGGAGACAGTATTGGTTCCGGGGCCCCGGGGAGGCGGCGGCGGCGGGCTGTCTGAGTGTGTGGGCGGGGCCCCGCCGTCGGGGGACCGGCCTCGGGAGGGGGTGCGGTGAAGGCTGTCCTGGGGCTTCGAAGGCAGATTAGAGAGAGGAGGGGGTGCAGCCGTTGGCGGGGCTTGCTGCTTGTTGGGGCTCGGTGGTGGGACGTGACGGTGAGCCCCCTCTCGCCTCCCCTCGTCTGTCTTCACAGGAGACGCCGACCAACGAGCTGAGCGTCCAGGGGCCCCCCGAGGGGGACTCGGACCCGTCCACGCCGCCAGCGCCCCCGACGCCTCCCCACCCCGCCACCCCCGGAGATGGGTTTCCCAGCAACGACAGCGGCTTTGGTGAGGGGCGGGGCCTGGGAGGGGCGGGGCTAAGGAGGGCGCGGCCTCTGGGGGCGTGGCCTGGGAGGGTGGGCTTAGGAAGGGCGTGGTCTCTGAAGGGGGCGGGGCTGAGGCGACTGGCTCCCGGCGTGTCTGAGAGTCTGACCCCGCCCTCGCCTGTCCCCCTGCACCCCCTTTCCTCCAGGAGGCAGTTTCGAATGGGCGGAGGATTTCCCCCTCCTCCCCCCGCCAGGGCCCCCCCTGTGCTTCTCCCGCTTCTCCGTCTCGCCTGCGCTGGAGACCCCGGGGCCCCCCACGCGGGCCCCCGACGCCAGGCCCGCAGGTAACGTGCCTCTCTGTCCCCCCCACATTCTTGTCCCCACGTCTGCACCCCCTTGTTCCTCCCCCCCAGCTCTTCAGTCTCCTCCCTCCCCTCTGCAACACTGCTCCTCATTGCGACCCCACCAAACCCTGCAACCGGTTCAGACCAGGCCGTGTCCGTTAGATGGGCCTTCCCGAGCCTCCGTTTCCCCTTCTGTAAGGATCTCCTCCGAGTCCTTCCCACCTTCGCCCCATCTCTGGGCGGGGCTCCTGCCTGGCACCTCCAGGCTCCGCAGCCCCCCTCCCTCCAGACCCGGAGAGGGGGACCCCGGGCACACTGGGCGGTGTGTGCCTGAGCAGACAGGACCTGGCCTGGGGTCCCACAGCAATAACAACCACGGCTGCACTGCTGCTGATGATAACAGCAAGCGCTGGCAGAGACCCTGCCTCAGCCCGTTAATCCCCGCCGGGATCCCACCCGGTGGGTTCTGGTCTCACCCCCATTTTAGGAGAGAGAAAACCCAGGCACCGAGGGCAGTGGGGAGCCGGGGTTCAGAACCCAGCCCTGGCCCTCTGCCCTGGTCGGTGCTTGTGGAGGCCCTTTCTGGGGTTCCGCGTGGAAGAGGGGCACAGCGCCCTCAGTTTCTGATGTCCCAGAGCTGAGGCCGGCCTCACAGAAAGGAGGGCACAGCCGGGTCTCAGGGCGGGACTGGGAGGAGAGACGGTGAGACCCAGGCTCTCTTCTGCCCCCTGCTGCCGGGACCGAGAACTGCCCCGGACGCCAGCGGCGGAGGTAGAAGGGACAACGGCGTGGGTTCCATTCCTGCTTCATCCAAATCGCGCCAGAGCCCACGAGCTGGCCCTGCCACTTCCTGGCGAGCAGCTTTCCCTTCCTGGGCCTCGGTTTCCTCGTCTGTGGAATGGGGGTGATACACGCTCCATTGCTGAGAGGATCGCCCGGCTTACTCCCCGTGCACGGAGCACGGAGCCTGAGCCTAGAGCAGTGGTCGGCAAACTGCGGCTCGCGAGCCACGGTTTGCCCCTCTGTGGACGAATGATTTTGCCAACCACTGGGATAGGGGCTTAATCACAGGGAACAGCAGCAGCCTGTAATGATTGGAATTGAGAGCCTAGGTCAGTGCTCGGCAAACTCATTCCTCAACAGAGAGGCAAGCCGTGGCTCGCGAGCCGCAGTTTGCTGACCCCTTGCCTGGAGCAGCGGGTAGCTGTTCCTGTGCTTAAATAGCAGACGTTGACTGAGCGTGGGCCGCGGGGCGCCGGCCTTCCCAGCTGAGCAAGGCCGAGGGCCGCCCCGCCCCTGGATGCTGACCCACAGTCACCCCGGAGAGACTGAGCCCTGGACGCGCCCCTAAAACCGGGGATTTGGGGGTTGACGGTGGTTAACTAGGTGAAGAGGAAGGTGAAGGCAAGCTAGCAGGCTGAGCAGCTTGCACGGAGGGCCTGAGGGGAGAGAGCTTGGCCTGCGTGAGGAGCAGAAGGGAAGCGGTGTGTCTGGGGTGACTAAGCGAGCGGGGCAGATGGAGGGGAGGGGGAGGCAGCGGGGGGCGGGGCAGAGCCTGTGGGGCTTGGGGATGGGTGGAGGGGTGGGGCCTGAGTCTGGGGTGTGAGGGACCCCTGGGAGGGCCTTGATCAGGATGGCCAGGTGTAGGAGGACCCCCGGGGCCATAGGGGGCTGTGAGGCTGGGAAGGAGGGAGGCCCGGTCACCGTCCAGGCGGGAGACGCCAGGACGGCGGAGTCCGGGGCAGAGGGGTGGGGCGGAGGGAGGGCTGGCTTCACTCGGCTGCATTGTCAGCGCTGGCCCCAGAGCCATTTCCTCCCAGAGGCCTCTGGGGCCCCCGGGAGGACAGGGTGGGGTGTTCCCGGGCGTGGGGACGGCGGCCAAGTGTTGAGTCAGGGCCCAGGCTGCCGGGCCGGCGATGGTGATGACTTTCCCTGTCACCGGGAGCCAGAGGGAGGGCAGATGGTCCGAAACCCCAGTCCCTTCCTCAGGCGGCAGCTGGCGCCCTGCCTCCGGGCTGGGGAGCTGGGGAGCCTGGCGGGGAGGCAGGACCCCCTAACTCCTCCGATTCCTGTGCTCACGTGGTGTTGCCCACTCAACACATGTTCCCTGGATGCTGAGGGATCCCCCGTATCCCAGAGCCCCCACCCCTTTGGAAAGGACACGAGGGTCATGCCTCCCACTTCACGAGAGGGAAGCTGAGGCAGGGGATGGGGAGGGAGGGCGGTGACCTGACCGAGGCCACTCCGGGAAGCGGTGGGGGGGAGTGAGGGCGCCGGTGAGCGGCCCTCCGCACGGCCCTCCACCCGAAGCCCTTGTTTCTCTGGCGTGCGCAATGGGGGAGACGTCCCTCCCGCTGGGAGCGGGGGGGTCCGGGGAGGCGGGTGGGAGGGCGCTTTGTGGCAGGGACCACAGACCCGTCCTGCCTGAGCTTATGTTCTGGAGGGGCAAGCAGACAGGAAGCTCTGGGGTTCTGGGGTTCTGGCTGGGCTGATCCCCGAGGAGCCAGAGAAAAGCAGCCACGGAGGGCCGAGCGGGCACCTGCTTGACTGAAAAAGGCCAAGCAAGGCCTTCGGGGAGGGGCGTCCAGCAGCAGCCTGAGCTCGCGGCTCTGGGCGGTGGGAGCACGTGCCAAGGCCCTGGGGCAGGACCCGGCTGGGAGCCGCGTAGGGTAGGACTGGCTGCAGCTGAGTGAGCGAGGGGCGGGCCGGGGAGGACGGGAAGGGACCCAGCAGGCAGGGAGGCCTGTGAGCCGCAGTGGGGGCTTCAGCCAGTAATTCTGTTTCTCCCCCACCCCCTTCGTCGCCAGGCCCTGTGGAGAACTGACCCCCCAAAGACCCGACCCCCCTGCGCCCCCAGAAGAGGGGTTGAGGATGGAAACCTCTGTGGACGACGGAGCCACTGCCACCACCACAGACGCCGCCTCTGGGGGGGCCCCTGAGGCCGGGCCCTCCCCCTCCCCCACCGCGTGCCAAACGGGGGGCCCCGGCCCCCTGCCCCTCAGCCCCCCGGAAGGCTCCCCCGACCCCCCAGACCCCCTCGGTGCCAAATGAGGCAGGAGCCCCCCCCCCCCCCGGAGAGCCGCCTTCTTGGAACTGAATGGACTTGGGGCCTGGAGCCCGGCACAGCGGGCCCTCCCGCCCCGGACGGGCCGCAGGCTTCGGGGGCCGGGACCCCCACCCCCATCTCGCGTTTCCCCGTCCCCGCCCCCGCCTGGCCCCGCGGGGCTTCTGGTTCCCACCTTCTTCGCGTGGCATTTTCACATTATTTAAAAAAGACAAAAACAACTTTTTGGAGGAACACGGGGCCTCTGTGTGTTTCGGGGGGCGAAGAGGGGAGGACGGGGGGAGCAGGTGCCACCCGGGAGACGTCCCATCCTCACCGCCCACGTGGACGGACGGGACCCCCGAGGGACCATCGAGGCTCAGGAAGGCCGAGAGGGCGCCGCGCCCCTGCACCCCGGCTCCGAGGCCAGCCTCACCGAGCAGCTGCAGCCCGGCTTCCAAGCGGCCAGGGGGCCCTGGTGAGGGTTAGGGAAGGTCGGGGGGATGGCCAGAAGCTGTCCCAGGGCCAGGCCTGGGGTGAGGGGAGCCCAGGAGTTACCTGCCAGCAACCCATACTGACCAGCCACATCCCACCTCCTTGAGAATGGCCCTGCCTGGCCCTGCCTCTGTTTGCCCGTTTCTGCGTGTGACCTCCCTGGCATTCTCGCCTCTTGCTTTCCTCTCACTGCATCTATCCACGGGGACTTCGCCCTCCGGTTCCATCCCTCTCAGCCCCGTGTCTCACCGGCCCCTGTTCCACCTGCCGTGGGACCTTCCCATCTTTCCATCTGTGTCTGTCCCTCGGCCTCTTTTCTCATCTAACTCTACTACTGTTTCTTTGAGTTCACAGTATCTATTTTTTTTTTTCATATATTTTTTTAATTGCCGAGACCGGTTTGGCTCAGTGGATAGAGCGTCGGCCTGTGGACTGAAAGGTCCTGGATTCGATTCCGGTCAAGGGCATGTACCTTGGTTGCGGGCACATCCCCAGTAGGGGGTGTGCAAGAGGCAGCTGATCGATGACTCTCATCCATGCTTCTAACTCTATCCCTCTCTCTTCCTCTCTGTGAAAAATCAATAAAAAATATATTAAAAAATATATATATATATATTATTGATTTCAGAGAGGGAGGAAAAGAGAGAAACATCAATGGTGAGAATCATTGATCGGCTGCCTCCTGCAGGACCCATAGGTGGGATCAAACCCGCAACCCGGGCATGGGCCTTGACTGGAATGGAACCTGGGACCCTTCAGTCCCCAGGCTGACGCTCTGTCCTCTGAGTCAGACGGGCTGGGGCCACTATCTCTAATTCTGTTCCCTATGGCCTTCCTGGCTCCGTTATGTCTTCCTGCCTTGTGTTACTGTCTCCATGTTTTGCCTCTTGGTTCCTCCTGACTCTGGACTGATTGTGCTTCCATCTCTCTTTCTGACAGGATCTATTTATTTTATTTATTTATTTATTTAATTTTTTTAGCTCTGATCTGGTTTCAACCTGTTCCCCATCCCCTTGGTACTGGATTCATTTGCATACTTGTGGGTTATAGAGGAGGGAAGGGGCCAGGAGAAGAGACTTAGCTAGGATGCTGTGGACTCTGAGGGCCTGAGGGCCACACGTGAGTCTGAGGGATGGAGAGAGGGAGAGAGGACTGTGTAGGTGCCTCTCCCCACTTCTGCCTCCTGTACACCTGGTGGTGCTTGAACTGACCTCGGGACATGCCTGCCGGGGCCGGGAGCCGCATGGACCAAGCCAGGCGGGACCTGAGGGAGGAGGGGCGCATCGGTGTGCTGGGCCTCCTTTAACGAAGGATCACAAATCGGGGGGCTTAAATCACACACATTCATTTATTGTCTGTGCTGGAGGCTGCAAGTCCAAGAGGGAGGGCCCACCTCGGCTTTCTCCTGGCTTCAGGGTTCCTTGGCCCTGACCCTGCCTTTATTGTTACCCAGCATCCTCCCTGTGCGTGTCTCCGTGTTCAAAATGTCCCTCCGCAGAAGGAAGGACATCAGTCATGTTGGATGAGGGCCCATGTTAGTGACCTCATCTTCCCTAATTTTATCCGCAATGACGCTATTTTCAAATACGGTCACACTCTGAGATCCTGGGGGCTAGGGCGTCGACATATGGGTTTGGGAGGGTCACCCATAACAAGGAAGTGGGGACTTTGGGGTCCTGGGAGAGGAGGGAGCTGGAAGCTGGAATTCTTGGTCCTTGGAGAGACCGAGGTGGGGGAGGGGAGGGGGGCGTTGAAGGGTAATGTTGAGATGACGGGAGTCACACTGGATGATCCACCGACAGTGCAGCTTCGGTTGGCTAACACAGAACGGCTGGTTACCCACAACAAACAGTCCTTCTTCCCTCCTCTCCTCAATGGCAGTGCCCTTCACCAGATACTCCAGCCGGAATCCAGCTGACCCAGCCCTCAGCAAGTCCTACTGGCTCTTCTTCCCAAACCACTCCCCTGGCCACTGTCCCGCCTCTGCAGCCACACCCTCACCCCTGGCTGACTGCTCAGCCTCCCTCCCTCCCTCCCGCCCGCCCGCCCGCCCGCCCGCCCGCCGGCCAGCCACTCAGGCCCGGGCCCTGCCTACAGCCTCCACCCAAATGCATCACATCACTCCTTGGATGGCCTCCACAGAGAGCACATTCCAAGTGCTGGGCCCGAAAGATCAGGCCCAGGCATCCCCTCCATTTTCTCTCTTCTCTCTCCTGTTAGTTCTTACCCGAAGATATTTTCCCATCAATTTTCAGAAAGTGGAAGGTCAGAAACATTGATGTGAGAGACATATCAATTGGTATGCCCCAACCCCGGGGGTGGAGGGTGAGGGGGGGAGACATTGAGCCTGCCTCTGAGGGACGTGCCTTTGACCTGAATTGAACCTGCAACCCTTCCGTCTTCAGGCTGATGCTCTAACCACTGAGAAAACCGGCCAAGGCGTCCCCCTCACTTCCTGTCACCCTCCCCCACCATCACCACCAGGCAGGCAGGCTGGGCTGCTGTCAGTGACTCCAACACGCCAGGGTTCTCCTGCCTCTGCACACGCTGTCCCTTGGCCCGGAATGCTCTTCCAGGGCCTCTCGCCGAGCCAGTGGCTTCCGTGGCTTCATTCCATGGAGGAGAGAGACGGTGACCAGACCCTTTATTTACCCAAGGATCCCATTTACCAGAACCTTCTTGGCTTGATGACTCCATTGCCGTGGAACTTTTGGGAGGAGTCGGAAAATCCCCTCCCTATCAGCCCCTGGGGGTTGAAGCAGTCAGGCCTCTTCCCTTCCTGGCTGGGCACCAGGCTAAGACCAAGCTGAAACTACAACTCCCAGGAGACCTCGGGAATGACTGCCGGCAGCCGGGCGAGCTGAGCTGCATAGCTTTCCAGGAGTTGTGGTCCCTTCTTGCCAGAGAGGGCGCCACCTCGGAGGGTGACTGACGGCTATTGCACATAGGGGCCCTGCTCGCTGGCAGAGGCCTGTGACCACCCCACCAGGAGCATCAATTAGGGGTTCAACTTCCGGGGGGTGCGGGGTGCGGGAGAACTGCACCGTGGGCAGCCTTGGTCCAGGAGTGACATGGGGTCTCCCACTTTGCCAACCACCCCTTTGCTCCATGGGGACACCATGCGTGCCCTGAGCCAGAGGAAAAGGTGGCCAGGCCCGGACCTGGCTCTCAGGGGCGCCCTCAACCTCCTTCCACTCCGGGCTGCGAGTCCCGGGAAAGGGATGTGACAGAAACACGGGGTCTGGGCGCCTCACTGCTCTGCTCGGTGTGAAATGCCCTCAGAGGTTAATCCCGTGGAGAAACCGGTCCGCCTACCGCATTCCAGCCTCTTGGCACCATCCCCTGGGCCGGCCTCTTCCCGCACCAGCAGCTCTGGGTGAGCGCTGAGCAAGGGCTCCCCCACCTGCTGGTCAACCTGGGCCTTCCTCCTCTTCCTCCCTCTCAGGACTCCTCCCCAGACCCCCCCACGTCCCCTCAGCCCTTCCAGCTCTCTGGTTGGCCCTCAAAGCACAGCCCCGCTCCCACCCATCAGCTGTTAGCGGTCACCCCTCAGAGACCACAGGGGCCAGCATCCGCGGGCTCGGGCTGCCCACTGGCATCTGGGTGGGTGCCAACTCGCCCGGAATACTGCGTCCCCGTGGCATTCTAAAGTAACACCGACTCCGGCTACACCAACCGCCTCCCGTCACCACCCCGCAGGCCTGGCACAACCAGGACTGAGCCACCCGAGGCCCCGGGGTCACCCCCTTGGACAGCACCCTTCGCTCCACGGACAGAGCCCAGCTCCCGGCCCCGGATGGGGCTGCCGGGCTGCCTTGCTATCAACCCCGAGAAATGAGAGGTCAGCAGGCCGCGAGCAGTTCAATAATTAATATTACCAACAGTGCGTTAATTACAAATAAGGAGAGGAACCAGAGGTGGTACGTTTCCACACGGGAACCAGCATCCACACCCCGTCCCAGGGGTCCGGCCACCCGGGCGGGCGGCGCAGTAATAAATAACGGAGTGGGGGACAGGGTCAGGGCTGCTCCTGCTTCTTCTTGACGGAAATCCGCTTCTTCCTGGCGGCCAGCATCTCGTAGAAGGGGTCCACGCTCACAGCTGCCCTGCGGGAGGGGAGAGCCAGGGTGAGGCCGGGGGTCTGGCCCCGCCCCCCTGGCCCCAGGGGCCCGGAGCCCAGACTCACTGGATGGACTTGATCCACTCGTCCTTCTCCTCCTGCGTGGGGGCCGAGATCCGGTACACCATGTGGTTGCCCTCCACCACACGGCCGTCCGCCTCCGTCTTGCAGGCTTTGATGAGCTGCCCCTTGTTGTTGGGGATGTAAAGCTCGAAGCAGTTCTGGGGAGACACCAGAGGAGGGGGCGGGTGAGAGCCGGCCGGAGGGCGGAGGAGCCCCGCTGGGGCAGGAAGGGGCACAGAGAGGGTCTT